TCAAAGGTAACACCAAGGTTCCTAATGGAGGATTTAATATAAGAAGCACGAGCGCCTGGATTTTTAATGTCCAAAAGGTCACATTCATTAGGGGTCAGACAGTGGAATGTGTTGAGTATTATAATCTAATATATGTTGGAACAATGATTGACTGCAAACTGAACTGGGAGACAGACTGTGACTGTGTAAAAAAAAAAAAAGGGGGCAAGAGCATTTGTTATGTTTGAGGTAAATTTTCTGGAGTCTGTTTTCTCATTTTCATTGGTGTCATGATTTGGATATTTATCTGTAAAAAAGACAGAAAATCGCTCACTCAAATTGTTAAATGGGCTAACAAGCTGACGTTTCCTTCATTGTGTTGTATTGTGCTTGTCTGTTGTGCTCATTTGTGCAGTTAGAATTGCTCACTTAATGCAGACTGGCTTTATACTGACAGCTTCAAATAAAGTAACCTGAATGTGTTCCTTTTTAATCTCTTGATTACAAATAAAGTTTGTTGGAAATAAGTTTGGGAACAAAAAAGTTTTATTTCCTCACTGTGTGTAATGCATGCTTGTACTTTTAAAGCAGTTTTAGGAAAATGTGTAGATTACAAACGACTAAAAGTCTGTGAATACTTATTTTTCCCCATGTCTTTCATTTTTGTGTGGTTGAGTCCAGTGATACTATATAAAGCAGATTATACTGAGTTAACTATTTATAGCCAATAATCCGATGCTTTCACAAAATTGACTGTTAGCATGAACATAAAGATATTGCTCTACTGTGACACAGGAATTTATTGAAGTTCAGTTAAAAAAAATTAAATGTCATATTTACTCAAAATACACTTTAATTACTATTTTAAATGCTGAGAACATTTATATGCACATTTTTCTTTTTTTCTATTTTCTGGACAGTTATTGTTACTCCCCTCGAGTCTTAATAAAGCTCAACTTGTTCTTTGCGTTTTAGCTGACATTTATTTCGGACAGGAGGATTCTCCAACGTGTCTTAACCTGTAATGATGTCCAACCACAGCCGATACAATGCCGTCAGAACTAAAAAGAAATACAAACTTAAATGAATATTCTTAATAAAGTTCTTAAGCATTATATGTAACGAAACATTCCAACAAAAGGATCAATATTATACACATCACACTTCACACTACGGTACTTGCACTTGAATGTCACACAACACTCGCATATATACATACAACGATAAGAAACAAAATAAAACATTTACCTCATTGGCCTCACTCAAATGGAATAAAACTTTCATTTTTACGTCATGGGGAGGTCCAAAAAAGGTACTCTTTATTTATCTTTCTGTAGACGTGCAAACCTCGTGGCTCGTCTCTTAAGGAGCAAAGAGATGAAGCGTCCACACTCGCAAAAGGGGAGGAGCACTATCCTCCTGTAGGAGGATAGTGGGATATTTCAAGAGCAGTACAATTGCTAAGGTTTATTCCATTATTTCATTGCTGCTTTAAGGAGCTGCTGCAGTAACACAGCTTGAATTAATCAGTTTGTGTTGGCTGTTTT